AACTCAGTCCCATAAGGACAAATACTGTGTAAGGCCACTATTGTAGAAATAGAAAGATAACTAATAAATTTGTATGAGGATCTAAGTGGGATGTGGTAGGAGCAGAGGGGTGAGGATGAGCAGTGGGGAAATCATAGGGTCACACAATTTGATGAGTAGAGGAAGGAGTGAATAAAGGAAATGTGAAAGAACCAGTGAGAAAAACAATGTACATGAACTTTGTAAGCAAAACAGCATCTTGTTGTCAAGATGTTAAGTGTTGTCAAGTCATGGGTGACTAATAGCAACCCTATGAATGAAAGTCCTCGACACTTGCATGACTTTTATTCTTTCTCCAGGCTCATAGGGTTTCTGGAGGCAAGCTATTTCAGAAGTGGATTCTACTCCTGCTTCCAAGCTTGTTTTAATCAGGGAGCTCCACCTAACACCATCCATCATGGGTAGCCATTATTGCATTTGAGACATCAGGGTCAGTATTCAGCTTCACAGCAACCACAAGATACCTCTGTATAGCAAGTGGACACACCCGCGCTACATGACCTAGAAGAATGTTTGCCCAAAAACAATGAAAAACAGGCCTGAGGGCCGCGGATTAGAGTTACCCACCTTTGGCTTGGTAGCTTCACTTTCAGTCCACTAGGCCAACTGATATCTCTCTATGTTGTTAAGTGTAGTCGACCCTGTGAACGAACGTCCTTGACACTTGCGTGACTTTCATCCTTTCTCCAGGTTCATAGGGTTAAATAAAAAATGTATTAAAAAAAATCTTAGTGGCTCAACAACACTCAAACATAGGTAATCAACCTCCTGACTCTTACAAAGTGCTTTCTACACCAGTTAAATTGCTCTTGAATTGTTCTTAAATTGCTCAAAAACAACTCAGAGAAAAAGAGAGGTGCTTGTCAAGGGTGAAAAAGAAGTGACGAGATCTCCAACCTCTTCCCTCTTTTTCTCTAACAACTCATTAGATCTGACTCTTCTTAGCTAACCCTCCAGCAGATTTTTCTGAGGCAGAAAATCATACAGAAGGAGACTCACCACCTTTCTCCTATGGAGCAGCTGGTGGATTTGAACCACTCCCATTTGGGTTGGCAATACAACTCTTTATCTGCTAGACCATCAGTGCTTTCTTCTTCTTCTATTACCCTTGTCACACCAGGACATAATTCAGAATCATCACTGGCCATAATCAGTGAAACAGAGGGTAGTCAGCCTGTGTACAGTGCTCTATCTCTCACTGCGCTTGAGTTGGTCTATGGGACCAACACCACGGGACAGAAGTGATACTATGTTACTTCTAATATTAAGTTTTATTGAAGTTATACATTTTTAGACAACTGCTGTGGAGTCAATTCTGATACATAGTGACCTTCCACCTGATGTCCAAGGCTGTAAATCTTTGTAGGGGAAGAAGCTGGTGGATTCAAACCACTGATTTTATCAATTAGCAGTCCAACACATTAGGTATTAACTCCTCAGTAAATTACATTCATAGATCTATATGTATTAAATATATTTTATTTATCTGGTGGCCTAGTGGATAATGAGCTGGCCTGCCAACCAAAGGCAGGCATTTCAAATCCACCAGTGGCTCCAAAAAAGAAAGATAGGCAATCTCCTCCTTTGCAATTTACTGCCCCTGAAAATCTGTTGGAAAGTTAGCCATGAGCTGATTCTGACGCAACAACAAGGAGAGAGATATAGAAAGAAAAGAAAAGCAACTTCCATCTTGAACATTCTCTATCCTTCTTGAATCACTTATTCTGGGGGAGACAAATGCCAAGTCACAAGGAATGGGGACACTTAGGAAGCCTACAGAGATGTTCATGTGGTGAGTCCTTCTGAACGGCTTTGGCCAACAGTGAGCAGGCAAGTAAACTTGTGAGTGAGCTTAGAAAAAAAGGTCATTCCCCAGCTGACTGTTCAGTTGAGACTTCATCCCCAGCAAACAGCTTAATTGCTACGTCATGAGAGATGATGAGCTAGAGCCATCCAACTAAATTTTTCCTGGGTTTTCTGGAAACAATCCACAAAGATTATTGTTTGAAATTAAGTTTTGGGGTAATTTGTTAGGGGGCCTACAGCCTTTTTCATTAAGTACTAAGCATTTCTTCTACTTTGGTCCAGTCACATTGTCCCACAAAGAAGAGAATAATCTCTTGTTGACATGTTAATATGTCAAACTCTCCTCCCCAACCTGGAAATAAACATTATAGCTATTGCCGTTGTACTGTGTCATCAGGTCAGAACCAACTCTTAGCTGACCCTCTAACAAGTCTTATGAGATTGTAAATTGCATGATGTTGCCCATCTTCCTCCCGTGGAGCATCTGGTGGATCCAAACTGCCTGCTTTGGGTTAGTAGTGCAATTCCTTATCCAGTAGGCCACCAGAGTTCCCTAACTCTATAGTTCGCAAACATTTTAACTTAGAATACTTGAAAAATGAAGTGGTTCTTCAGACAGTGTACACTGTCTTCCCACTGCCCTATCTTAGTTTCAATTCTCTTTAGGTTTCTGAACCTTTCCCTCACAGGAGACCCAAGAATGTTAAGAAAGAATCTGACTCTCTCCTGGGCAGAATATTTAAGTCATACATTATTGTTTGTTTTCAGGAAAGCTAGTCCAATTATGCAACACAAATTCTTTTAAAGCATCTGGGACTTCAGTTCAATTTAAAATCCTGTGGGTTTTATTACCAGAATAAATGATTTTAAAATACATGCATGCAAATGAAGCAATAAAAAAAAGTTAAAGGGCATATGAAATTTAATGCATGTTACTTGTAATTCCAAGCCAAATTGTTGCCAATGACAGTAGCTGTGCAATATCACATGAAAATAAAGTTTGATATGTTTATGACTTGAGAATGTGGTTTTAATAGTCTGTTGTCATAAATATATATTCTAAAACAGACCAAGGGCAAGGACAACACTGAAACTAATAGTTAATTCCACAATTGGGAAATATTCTTAATCTCCTTTTTTCTGTAAAATGCTTGTCTGTCAGATACCTCTCTAAATATCAGCATTCGGATTAAGATGGACTCGGAAGAAGGATTGGCCATCCACTTTCTAAATAACAGGCCTGTGAAAACCCTACATACAACAGAACACATGTAGACTAACAGGGCAACCGAGGTGGAGCTTTCAAGTATGGAAAAACAAAGAGAGAAAAATAGTTATAAGAAGACACTGGTGATTGGAATATGGGATGTGAGGACTATGAATGAAGGAAAATTGGATATTGTTAAGGAAAAAATGGAACGCCTAAATATTGACATACTAGGTATTGCGAAGATTAGATGGACTGGCATGGGGCATACTGAATCAGATGATCATATGATCTATTACTATGGAGATGAAAAGGTGAGGAAAATTGGGCTTGCTTTCATAGTTAAAAAAGTCATTTCTAGATCTGCCTTGAAATACAATATTGTGAATGACAGGATAATATCCATATGCTTATAAGGAAGTCCAGTGAATACCACAATCATTCAGCTATATGCACCAACAACCAGAACAAAAGAAGAGGAAATAGAAAATTTCTACCAACTTTTACAGTCAGAGACAGATCAAACATGCAATCAAGATGCATTAATGAGTGACTGGAATGCAAAAGTTGGGAATAGAGAAGAAGGATCAGTAGTTGGAAAACACAGATTCATTGACAAAAATGAAGCTGGAGAGAAAATGATTGAATTTTGCACCATCAAAGACTTAGTCATTGCAAATACATTTTATAAGAAACATAGGCCGCCTATTTAGTGCGCCACGGGCTCCAGTCGCTACGTTTTCGCTTATGGCTGCTCAAGGAGAGGGAGGGCTGGACGGTTACGCCCCTACTCGTACTCCTACCCCTTCCCGCCAGCCGCCAAGGGCAAGGTCACGGCGGGAGAGGGCGCGTGGCGCCACCGCGGTCAATGCTACTTCCCCGCGCCCTCTTCCGCAGCGGCTGCGGTGGCCGCTGCCTCGTCCTCGTTCCCCGGCTACGGGCAACTCATGGCGGCCGAGTACTTCGAGAACTATCAGCCGGCGCAGCTCATGGCCCTCCTGTCGCAGATGAGTCCCGGCCTGGCCCCGCGGTCGCGCCGGGCCAGCAGCCGCGACGTGGGGGTGCAGGTGAACCCGCGCCGCGAGGCGTTGGTGTAGTGCTCGCTGGGACGGCGCACGCTGCTGCGCAGGGCGCGCGAGGCGGGCTCCGAGGGCGCGGCCTCTCCGCAGCCTGGGCGCCGCGGTCCCGAGCTGGGCAGCCCTCCAGGCGGCGCCCCGCGCGGCGTGCGCTTCCCGCGCACCATCGCCGTCTACTCCCCGGTGGTCTCCCGCCGCCTCACCACCTTTCTGGAGGGGCCCGAGGCGGGCGAGGGTGAGCACGGGCCGCCCCCGCGGGAATCCAGCAGGGCTGCGGCCAAAAAGACGTCCCAGTGGCCGCAATCCGAAGAGGAGGAGGCGGACGAGGCCCAGGTCGCGGTGCGGAAGAGCTGGGAGGAGCCTGCCGAGGACAGGACGAAAGGGCCCGCGCGGGAGGCCCTTGGAGACGAAGCGGCCCCGAGAAGCCCGGAGCCGACGGACCGGGCCAAGAATGAGGAGGACGCAGCCGGCTCGGGCGAGAGATTGTCGTCGCAGAGCCCCGAGCCGCCCAAGGAGCGCCTGCGCTTCCAGGTGAGGCCTGGGCGGGCCAGGGGCCACCCGAGGTGGTGCTGCGTGGCAAGCTGGGTCTCCTGGTGCCCGCCCTGCCCGCGCCCAGGGCTCCTCCGGACGGGCGCCGGTGCCGGGCCTCCTTGGTGCGCACTAGCATGCGTTTCTGCAGCCACACCTTTCTACAACGCAGGTGTCTTCACCTTAAATCGTTAAGCATGATTGAAGGTTAGCTCTGTGTCCCCATCTGTAAGAATTGATGGGAATGGTTTGAGACAGTTTCATTCTGAACTTATGTGCGGTGGGCCTTGGGCACATGTCCACTCGTGGCTCCACATTTGTTAGCCTAGAATGGATGGGTGCTTGCATTGACTGTGAGGAGGTGATCTTACTGGCAGGAGAGTGGGTCCCCCAGATTTGACTCCCTATGATGAAAGCCTTGAGAGTTGAGTACGGTTCTGTTCAGCTCTCCAGCTTCCAAGCTGACCGTCTCCTGGACGCTAGAGCTCCTGGACACCCCACCCCATCCCCAATACACACACCTTGGGAGTTTTTCTTGCATTTATACAACATCCTCAGAGTAGGAACTGAGTACTACTAAGGCGTTTTGGCTTGTTAGCATTGCTGGTTGATAGAGCAACAGACTCTGGTCCAGTTCACACTAGCCAAGCACCAGGAAGTCACCTTGCATTCCCAGGGATACAGGAAGGAGGGCATGAGATGTAGTGAAGGGGTGAGGGAGATGGCGAGACCTTCATCCCTCACTTCCACACCCAAAGGCTAGGTTAAGAATGCAGAGGAGAATTGGGAGTGAATGAAGCACTTGGTCCTAGTGTAGACGTAGACAAGCTGCACACCTTTAGGTAAAGCTTGCCTTTCCACGCTTCAGCTGGCTGACCTGTGAGACTGAATTAAGTGCTTTCCAAAGTTTCTTCGAGTAAGAAAAGCCGAACTCCCAAGAATTTGTTTATAATTGGTTTCTGCCTGGGCGGGAAGATAAGCTAACAAACAAAAAAACCCCAAACTAAAAACCAACCCCAACTAAAACTACTTTGTTGTTTGTTACCTACTGCCAAGTCTCAACTGACTCATGGCTGACCCCCTAGCTGGTTTTCTGAGGAGGATGCCCACTTTTCTCCTTTGCAGCAGCTGATGGCTTTGAACTGCCAATGTTGGCAGTGAAACTCCTTTACCACTGAGCCACCAGAGCTTCCTAGTACTACTGTAGTTCACATTTTATATGACTTAAGGGTTGTGTGCTACTCAAGTGTTATCAGAGGTGATGAACATGTTATAGAACAGGTTTCAGGTCTGTTGTTCATAAGGTCTCTATGACTTGTATTTGATTCGACATCACTTAACAACTACTAACTTCCAACTCCTCTCATGTCTGTCTGATAGAAATCTAAACCAGTAAGGTGGTGGTAAGAGCAGCCCCCCATCAGCAGTGGCCTTGGACTCTTCTGGTCCATAGGGTTTTCACTGGCTGATTATTTAGGAGGTAGATCAACAGGTCTTCCTAGTCTGTTAGTCTGGAAGCTCTTCTGAAATCTCTTTGATGTCACAGCAACACATAAGCTTCTGTTGAGAGATAAGGGACAGCTGTACTCGAGGGACCTTGACAGGGAATCAAACCTGGGTCTTTCATATGGAAGGTGAAAATTCTACCACGGTTCGACCACTGTCCTCACTAGCAGAGGAGAGCTTTTGTATCTTATGCAGAGTCTGTTCTTTTTTTTGAGCTTAAGCACTCCCATTTATGTTAGTTCTAAAATCAGACAAACTAAAGGCTCCTAAAGAATGATAAGGGAGCTCTCTCTGGTGGTCTAGTAATAAGCAGTTGTACTGGCAACTCCAGGGCTCGCGGGTTTGAGTCCCTGCTCCACAGGGGAAAGATTAATCTCCTCCCATGTTATTTAGAGCCTCTGAAAACCTGCTGGAGGGTCAGCTATGAGTTCTTTCTGACTGGACAGCATATGACAAGAAATTTCAATCTTCAAGGGAACCCTAGCGTCTTGACTTTTCTCTTGCCTGTCTGAGGGAAAACGTGTAGATGTAATTGATTTCCTAAGAACCAAATTAAGCTGACATAGAATCAAATACAACTCATAGAGATTCTATGAACAACAGACCTGAAACCTGTCCTATCCTATAACATGTTCATCACCTCTGATAACACTTGAGTAGCACACAACCCTTAAGTCATATAGTGTGAACTACAGTAGTACTAGGAAGCTCTGGTGGCTCAGTGGTAAAGGAGTTTTGCTGCCAACCTAAAGGTTAGCAGTTCAAAACCATCAGCTGCTGCAAAGGAGAAAAGTGGACATCCTCCTCAGAAAACAGCTAGAGGGTCAGCTATGAGTCACCTTGGTTAGAAAAATTTTTGGTTCCTAATTTTCCATTCATGCTGAACCCTCCCAGATTTTTAATTACTGTAGACTCTTACCTAAAGTTACTGTTTTTTTCCATGATATAGAAAGAAGTTGCCAATTTTAACTATCAGATCCTTCCCAGCTTCTTCGATAAAGGGCATGGCCACTGTCATATTGATTAAACTCTGGTATTCTGTTCAGTTCTTAGAGCAGAAATATGGCTACTATCATTGCAAGGACTGCAACATCCGGTGGGAAAGTGCCTATGTGTGGTGCGTGCAGGGCACCAACAAGGTAAGAAATTCCTAGTCACTGGCACCTTTCTAACCATTGTCCCAAGAGATCTTGTGCTGTAAGTTTGTCTCTCCCATCACAGGTTTACTTCAAGCAGTTTTGCCGAAGTTGTCAGAAGTCCTATAACCCTTACAGAGTGGAGGATATCACCTGTCAAGTAAAGGCAATGGCTTTGTTTGGGGCCTTAGTTTTGTAGTGGATGGGTTTTAAGTTTCATCCCCCTATCCTAAAGGGGCTAAGATCTCAGATACTACAGGTTGTGATCAGTTTTTTGGTGTTGGGGGAGGAGTAGCATACCACCCCACTGGGAGACTGGTGTTTGATTCCCTTTGACTTTGCAGATCTTGGGTAAGATAACCTCTTACAAAGCAAATATCCTAGTTGTGTGCCATCGAGTTGGAACCAACCCATCACTGACCCTCCAGCAGGTTTTCAGAGGCAGTCAATTGCATGGGAGGAGATTGCTTATCCTTCTGCCACGGAGCAGCTGACAGATTAGAACCTTGTTCCCATCCTATCCTTTGGGATTGCGGTACAGCTTCTTAGCCCTAGGCCACCAGAACTCCCATATACCCTGGTTAGTGTTCTGTCTGATACCGAAAAAGATCATTGTGGTCGATTCAGAAGGTTCTCATGGTCCACTTTCCAAGCTGTCATCACATGGGAGAAGATGGCCCATTTTCCTCAAAACTTCTCATGGATCCTCCAGCAGTTCAATAGAAGCACAGAGTGTTTAAGAGTTCAGTTTTGCCTGAGAGCTCCCAAATGGAGGAAAAAAATAGTTTCAAAGTAAATCTAAGCTGTCGTCCAACTTTGTGGGGGAATTGTACCTGTTGTTAGGTAGGTCTCGTTGAATCAACCATGACCTGACTCATAGCAGCCCTTTGAAAAGCAGATCTGTACCCTGCCAGGTCCCGTGCCATCCCCATCTCTGACATACTCAAGCCAGTTACTCTGTCAGTCCATCGTGTTGAGGGTCTTTCCCTTTACTAACCTTCCGGTTTTTCATGATGTCCTTTCTCTGAGGACTAGCCCTTCCCAACAACATGCCCAAAATATGTGAGAGGATGTTTCACTACGCTTGTCTCTAAGGAGCGCCCTGGTTGCACTTTCTCCAAAGAGGTGTGTGTTCTTCTGGCAGTTCATGGGGTATTCAGTAATCTCTAACACCACAATTCAAAAGCATGAATTTCTCTTCTGTAATCCTTATTCACTGTCCCAACTCCCAGATGCATAGCATGTAATTGCAAAGACCACGGATTGAATCAGGCACACCTTAGTCTTTAACTGACACCATTGCTCCCTAGGACAACAATAAGGAGATTAAGTGAAGGAATAACTGATAATTTGATATTAACAAAGAGGCTTCAATAATTTAAGGAAGAAAGGAATTTTTATCATACAGCAAGTAAAGCCAGTTGAGACAGTGGTGCACACTGCTGGCCCTCACGTGCCTCCAGTTGGGTACTGGAGCTGTTACCTTCACAGAGTAGATGGAGAGAAAACACAGAAAACAGTTTAGATTTGTACGTCACACCAGGAAAGCTGGTTGTAAAGCGAAGTGCCCTAACCACCCTGCTCCCTAGTTACTGCTGTGCTCGGTCGCTTTATGTTGAGGGCACTGGGAGCAGAGTAAGCAGTTTCAGCCAGCCACTTACAGCCCTAACCTGAGGCTGTTTTTGCTCCTAGGTTAGCTTTCATTATTGGAATCTTCCACCTTTGCTTGTCCATACCCTTCCAGTGTAGGGAAGTATTTCATCTTGGAAAAGGTTAGGCTTCAAAAGAAACACCACAGTTCAAAATGAAATCTGATGCAGCCTGGCACCTCTGGAGCTCTGGTGGCCTAGTGATGAGGAGCTGTGTGCTGCTAACCTCAAGGTGCTAAGTTCAAATCTACTAGCTGCTTCCAAGGGGGTAAGATAAGCAGTCTCCTCCCGAGTAATTCACTGCCTCTGAAAACCTGGAGGTTCAGCTGTGAGTCCGTTCTGACTTGATGGTACAGAACGACAACAGCATAGCTAACAGTCAGTTGATTTAGACTGGGTAACTCCATGTGTGTTAGAATTGTGCTTTGAGATTTCCAGTGGCTGATGTTTTGAGATCTGTTTACCAGGCCATTCTTCCAAGATGCCTCTAGGTTAGACTGAACCCAAAATGTTTGCTGATAACCTGTTACCAGCCTAATGGTAACACCCTTATGTCACCCAGGGATATCACTACATGATGAATCCCTTTCTATTAATCCTAACATTGCTAGATTAGAACGTAGACAAAAAGATTAGCACTGGCCTATGTTAGAGTGGCTTATGACACAGTGACTGCTGCAGCGGGCTCTGTTGGAAGTGGGAGGATGGCACAGGATAGGACGGGGTTCAGATCTGTTGTTCATACAGTCAGAGTGGACCGTACTCGACTTGACAGCACCTAACAACATGTTACAATAGGGAGCTCTCTTATAAGCCAAAGGCATTATCTCTGCTAGTGTGAATCCACCAGTGGCTCCGGGGGAGATAGATGGGTAATTTCCCCTGAGATTTACATCCTCTGTGAGTCCGTTTTGACTCGACATCAATGGCTGAGGCTTTTTGTTTGCTTACTTATTTACTTATTTGAGTGGACTCGGGCAGCAAACAAGAGCTTTGAAGCCTTAGGAAATCAAGGGGTTTATCATCTGTGTATACTTCTCATTTTGATTCTTTTTTCCCAGAACTGTAACCAGACCAGATGCTCCTGCCCAGTAAAACTTCGCCATGTCGACCCCAAACGGCCCCACCGACAAGATTTGTGTGGGAGATGCAAAGGCAAGCGCCTCTCCTGCGACAGCACTTTCAGTTTCAAATACATAATTTAAATGAGTGTAACAGTGGTCCTGCTGAACTCGCAGGAATGAAACTGAGGATAAGCTTTTACCATGCTCCTCGTCCCCTCCCTCCCTCTTCTCAAACCCCGAATGGAAAGGCAGTGTTCTGTGACAGAGCCTCAAATAAAGGTATTGCAACACAATATATACATTGCATAACATCTTAATGTTTTTTAAAAAAATAAATTTGAGAAGAGCTTTTTTTGTGCTGACAGTTTGAGGCCGTCACTTTTCCTGACTTTATTCTCCGCATTGGTTCATTGCACAGACAATGCAATGTGTTTGGGCTCTGTTTGCATTCAGTTAAAGTAATTTAAGAATGAACTCTCGGGAACTCGTAGACCTAAGGTTTACTACGAAGCTTACAGCAATCCGGTAACAAGCTTTCTCAACATTAAAATAAGCATTTAGGAACACTGCATTGAAACAGATGAGGGGAAGAACTGTCTGAAAGGAATATATTTGGCATTGTGTGTATGACAGCAGTCTGAAAGAGGTGCATTCCAAAGTGGGCTGGGGAGAGGAAAGAGAAGGAGGGGGGAAAATGAAACAATGAAGGAGTAAAAAAAATTAGGAAAAGCTTAATTAAAAAAAATAAGCGTCTTGTCCTGTAGGGATGGTGGAGATAGTTTGAAGGCAATTCGAGGTTCTGAGTTGGTGGCTGAGTGTAGGTGACCGGTGTCAGTACTATTTGAATGATCTTAACCCCAACCCACTGTCATCCAGTTCAGAATCCTAGCAGTCCTCCACTGAGTGCCCAAGGCTAAACCTCTACAGGAGGAAACAGCCCATCTTTCTCCTGAGGAGCAGCTCATAGGATCAAACCACTGGCCTTGATAGTGGTTCTGTACCGTTGAGCCTCATAGCTGACTCTCCAGCAGGTTTTCAGAGGCAGTAAATCACATGGGAGTTGACTGTCCATCGTACGTGGAGCAGCTGGCAGATTGGAGCAGTTCCTTACCGCTTGGCCCCCAGAACTCCTGTTGATGAGTATCATAGGATGTTAAAATCCACACCACCAGGCTACCACCTTAGGAGTCTAGAGAGAACTCTAAACTTCATAATTACAATTGCACACCTGCGGTACAAGTGAGGATGGGAAAATGAAGAGCAGCTTTAAGATGTTAAATAACAAAATTTATTAATTTCAGGTGGTAACCTTTTAAAAAAAGCAAGGTAACAGCTGCAATTTTTTTTAAAACCTGTCAGGTGCTCTCAAATATCCTCAGAAAGTTTTCTAGGCTGTAATCTTTACATGAGATCCTCAGACTTTTGCCCTGCAGAGACAATGGGGTGTGTTCAAACCACTAATCTTTTGACTAGAAGCAGGGCTGCTTAACCATTGTACCACCAGACCAAAAAGCCCACTGCCTTCAAGTGGCTTGTGACTCATAGCGACCTGCCATCAGGTTTCTGAGGCTGTAAATCTTTCTCCCACAGAGCAGGGTATCATAAATCACACTATACTGCCAGGACTCCTTAAAAAGCAGCTGAAGTAAGAATATTTAAATATCTCGAGCTTGTTTGATAGAGGCCGCTTTTGCCCTAAGTGATATGCAGTTTTAGCCAGGAAATGGTAGTTCTGTTCAACATTGGGATTATCCAGTCTAGCTGCACACAAGTCTTCCATATGTTTCTGGGGAAATCACTGGGGTCCCATTCCCAGATGGTTACTGGTTACGGAAACCCGAAAATGAGACCAACCTGCTAATTGACCACTTCTTATTCAGTAGCCATCTTATCCTAGAAGGGGTTATAAATCTTAATGTCTTCACTGGTGTGTACATGTCTATATATATCTATAGTTAAATGTGAAGAACAGAAGAACCTGAAGTGGGTTGGGGGTCTCTAGAACAGTGTATGTCAAAAGGAAAGGTCATTCTGCATCCATACCTACCTAGGAGATAGATGCCTGTGAACATGCGGACGCCTAGGCTCCGGCTCCTCCTCCCTCACTATCTGGAGGTAAACATTTAACAGGTAACCAAGGTTAACCAATGCTTTTAGGACTGAAACTTGAAAACCATTGGTTTAGGAGCCCTATGCATACTGGTATATATATGGATTACATCTCTACATCGAGAAACAGAAATCCTTACCACTGGGCCAGTAGGTAACATCATGATGGATGGAGAAGAGACTGAAATGGTTAATGGTTTAATCTTCCTTGGGTCCACAGTCAACACCCTTGGTACCAGCATCCAAGAGATCAAGAGACATACAGCATTGAGAGGGTCTGTTGTCAGGGACCTCTCCAAAATCATGAAGAGCAATGAGGTCAGTTTAAAGACTAAGGTGCACCTGAGTCAAGCCACAGTCTTTCCAGTGACCTATTACGCATCTGAGAGCTGGATGATGAAAGAAGAATTGGTGCATTTGAGCTGTGGTGTTGGAGAAGAGTGCTGAATAGTTATCTCTTGAACTGCCAAAAGAACTAACATATGTCTTAGAGAAAGTGCAACCAGAGTGTATTTGGAGGCAAAGATGAAGCTTAATCTGACATATTTTGAACATGTTAGGAGAGGTTGTTCTTTGTAAAGAGACATCATGCTTGGAAATGTGGAGCGTCAGCAAAGGACAGGAAGACCCCCAACAAGATGGAGTGTTAAGTGTCTGTGGAAGTGGACTTAAATATGCCGAGGATAAGGATAGCACAGGATAGAACACAGTTTAGGTGTGTTATAGGTCTGGACAAGTTGTACTCTATTTGCAGCACTTAACAATGCATGCTGGTGAGCTCTGGTGGCCTGGTGGTAAGAAGCTACACTACCAGTCTGAAGATAGTCAGTTCAGATCCAAAGGCAATCTCCTCCCATGTGATTGCACAATTTACTGCCTCTGAAAATATGCTGGAGGGTCAGCCATGGGTCGGTTCCGACTTGACATAACATTTGAGTGGAAGCAGACACTTTTCTTTTTAAATTTATCATCTATCATTTATTTCAGACACTTTCTAAGCTAAGGCAGTAACACACATAATCTCATTTGCTGATGGAAACCAGAGACCCAAGTGGAAGACATTGAAGTCTGGGCTGGCTAGATTATGAGACTGGCAACAACGTGTTGGGAGGGCTTTTCAGACCTTTTGGAGACTTGGTGTTTATCTGGTCATCAATGTAAACCCAGTAATGGCTTTCAGGGTGTGATGAAGAAGCGTATTGTGGCTGAATCACCATTAAAAAAAAAGTGAATGGCCAATAACAAGATGTGCAGGGCCCAGATTTGCTTTAGTTCATAGGGGGCTGCACCCCTAATCCAAAGGCCACGCCTCTATGGCTGTTCATCTCTACCAGCAGCTTCTTGGGAGGAAGATAGGCAATTTCCCGTACCTTTTTACAGCCACAGAAGACCCAATGGAGGGTCGACTATAAGTTGGTTCTGACTCCACTGTAATAGATAGAGGGCTAAAAAGGAGTGAATGACTTTAAGCACTCTTGGGTATAGGTCAAGGCAATATGCATTTACTTGTTCTAGGAGGGGAAGACCCTCTATGAGATGGATTGATTCAGTGACTGGGGTAATCGGGATGGGTGTGTCAGAGGCAGTTCGGTTGGCGCAGGATAGAGCAGGATTTAGGGCTGTTGTGCATAGGGTCGCTGTGAGTCTCAAAGGACAGCACATAACAACAAACAATATCTATTATGATAAAAGGTTAAGGACTTAAGCCTTCACATCAAGAAAACAAAGATTCTCATCACTGGGCTGACTGGCAGCATCATGGATAGATAGTGAAGAAATTGAGATTGTCAACAGCTTCAGTTTGGTTGGCTCCACAATCAACACTCTTGGTACCAGCAGTCAGGAAATCAAAAGATGAATTGCATTAGGAAAGTCTGCTGTCGGCGACTATGATGTCAGTCTGGAGACTAATTTGTACCTGTTTCAGATCTTGGTCTGCACAATTACTTGTTATGCATCAGAAAGCTGGGCAATGACTAGGAATGACAGGAGAATCGATGCCTTTGAGCTGTCGTTAAATGTATTGTGGACCTTTCGCTAAGAGAACCATCAAGTTCATCCTGGAGTGGGTGAAACCAGGCTACTCGTTGTAGGCAACGATCTTTTTTGTGTTTTTTTTTTTTTAAGGCATAATCTTTTTGAGATTTTTTTTGTTTGCATACAAAATTCATATTTGTCACACTTTCCTTCATTCACATTGTATTTCATACAGTCATTCCCATATATAAGTGTTACATAAAATTAATCTCCATTGAACTATGCCTACTTTTACCCAGACTTTTCCGGTCCCCAGCAGATCCTTCCCCTTTACCAGAGGAATGTCTATCTGTGTTTCATTGACTATGCAAAGTCATTTGACTGTGTAGATCATAACAAACTATGGCTGACTCTGAGAAGAATGGGAATCCCAGAACACTTGATCGTTCTAATGTGAAACTTATACTTGGACCAGGAGGCAGTTGTCAGAACAGAGCAAGGGAACACTGCATGGTTCAAAATTGGGAAGGGCGTACACCAGGGATGCATCCTATCTCCATACCTTTTCAACCTATATGCAGAACAGATTATCCGGGAGGCTGGGCTCTATGAGGAGAAATGTGGGGTCAAGATTGGTGGACGATTTATCAACAATCTGCGTTGTGTGGATGACACAACCCTGCTTGCTGAAATTGGAGAGGACCTGAAGCGCCTGCTGCAGAGTGTCAAGGACTCCAGCCTACAATATGGATTGAGGCTCAATGTCAAGAAGACAAAGATTCTCACCACTGGACCAATTGGCAGCATCAGGATGGATGGTGAAGAGATTGAGATTGTACACAGCTTTAGTTTGCTTGGCTCCATAGTCAACAGTCTTGGCACCAGCAGCCAGGAAATTAAAAAGTGCATTGCAATGGGAAAGTCTGCTGTTAGGGACCTCTCCAAAGTGCTGAAGAGCAATGGTGTCTCTTTGGAGACTAAGGTGCGTCTGATACAGGCCATGGTCTTCGCAATCACCTGTTATGCATCAGAGTTGGACAATGACCAAGGAGGAT